GATGAACAGATTAAAAAACTGTGGCACAAAAAAAAAAAAAAAAAAAGAGTTGATAATAATTAAGCACAAGCTAAAACAAAAGTGCCATGTAAAAATTATGACATGAGCCATCTGCAGTTTTCAGAGCAAGAATATCAGAAAACTAAATGCTAGAACATAGCCTTCAGAAACCTGACAATCACCCCTGGGACTGACTTGTAAAACTGTGAACATGACTAAACATTTTAAAATCCATATTTCCGAGCACTTTGCCACTCAATCCAGGGAAATAAACACGGTGTTAGTTAGCTTAGCGTCACTGAAGGACCATAGTAGTGAAAAAAAAATTCTTTCTTTACATGACAATACTCTGAGTAAGGTAACATTATATCCCATGCAAGTATACATAAACTAATGCTGAAGAGTTAATTCTTGGGCTATGAGACTAATTTCTTGGTTGCTATCTAAAAATATTTTTCCAGTGTTAATGAACTTAATATGATTAACCATTTGCTCTCTTTCTCCAAACAGGCTTCCCCAATTCACTGATTCACAAATTCTAGTATCCTTAATACTGAAGTTAGTATTTTCTTTTTTTTCTTTCTTTTTTTGGAGAGGTTTTTGCTATAGGGCGCATGTGCTCACCAGAGACAGAAAGTGAGAAATCACCCCCCAGGGGGGATGGTCATGCAGCAATCCCTTCTCCTCCATTCTCCTCTCGGGATCTTGGGCACGCACGCACATGCGCCCAGCGTGAGTTTAAGCCACCAGCTCTGGGACTCGAACCGTGGTCGACTACATGGGAGTCCAGTGACATAGCCATTACGCTAACTGCTGGTCCCAAAGAGTTATAAATTCCATAAATTCTCTCTTGATTAAAAACAACAAACTCCCAAGTACAACTGGCTTTCTTGAATTACATGATACCTAAAAGTTACGTAACAAGACATTAATTGCTAGAAAATCTAGAGACTTGATATTGCTTCTGGAGAGTCTAAAACATAGTACTTAAATTTTAACATATTCTCAAAAGCTACTAAATTCCCTTGTTATTGTATTTGTGTATTTCTAAGGGGGGGGGCAGGAACAAACTCCTTTGACTAGAAACCAACATCGCCAACTTGGCAAGGAAAATTCCTCGACCAGAACATGTATATTCAACGTGAATGAGTCACAAGGACTACTGACAAAATGGACTTCTTAAAACATACTTCAAAAATTGACTACTGCTTTCGACTACTAGAACTTCCGGTTATATTACTTATTACCCACATACAAATGCAACACAATTAACCTAGTGGAAGAAGGTCAGAGGAAATTCTTTTGAGCCTAAAACCCTTACTTAAGACTCATCCAGGTTCTTTTGGGGTTCTGAGTATCTGCCTATCTTCATGGTTGCACACCAACCAGGAGTGTGGAGGGTTAATTTTCTAAGTGACTGAAAACACTATTTCAGGCCCTCTGAAGATATTAAGGAAAAGACATTTATTTCCCATATGTACATACAATGAATAAAGCTCTCAAGAAAAGTACCATATAGGGAGGCACTTAGTGAATGCTTTTTGATGATGGTAACAAGCTTAAATTAGAAAATCATTTGATTTCTTTTCCCCCACTCCCCATCCCCTTGTACTATTGCTATGTTTTAAGGTCTCTCACCAATGATATGGCTCTGTAATATTTCTTACTACAGGCTTACTAGTTCCTCAACTATCAGGAATTTTCGAGGTCAGGAGGTTGGTTAGTAAAGATTATAAAGGCCACCGTTCTGCCTACTTGTACCTCAAAGAGTAATGAAGACTGCAGCTAAGTAGTCTGCATTCTTAACACTGACTGGATCATGATACTGACCTCATGATAATTCAAAACTCACCCAGTCTAGGAAACATCAGAAAAAAAAAAATGTCTGTTTCTGTCATGCTAATCAGTCCTTTATTCTGAATCTTTTGTACCCTTATATTTAATTTATAGTATAATATTTTGCACTTCACATTTGAGTTACACCTCTGCAGTCTATGTTTTTTCATATATTCATGTACCAGTCTGTGGCTTATAATAACATCACTAGGCATCCAAAATGGGCGTATTAAGTATCCCAAATAATTCTTCATCCCAAATAATTCTGAAGACTCAGGGGTTGCTGTGGGTATTGAGTTAAAATGTGACCATAAAGAGAGCAAAGACAAACTGTGTTTTATGTATTCTTTATCTTATATTCCTCATACCACTGTTACGAGTTTTGAATAGTTTTTACAGAGATTCATGCTCTAAGAACCGTTTATTGCTAAAAATGTAAGTGAAGTTTTAGTAACTCTGAAGGAGACCAGAAAGAAACCATAAAGAACATACTGAGAGCTCAAGAAGGAGAAGTTAAAGGGTATGGCAGGGTGGTAAATGTTTTAATTTTCAGCAGTCATTCCTTTTTAGTATACTTTTGTTTTCAAGAAAATATCATTTTCTTGTTTTCTACCAAACCAACATACTAATATTGGCTATCAATGCCTAGAAAAACTGCACATTTCCCTAAACTTGTAACGAACTCAGTGCAATTATATCTGTGGTTTCCTTTTTCTCTGAAAGTACTAAGCTCCCATCTTCATCTCATTTTGGTCTTTTCTGAGCCCAAACGACATTTATTTTATATGTTGAAGATGACTTATGCTATGTTGCAACATGAGGGAACTTCGAAAAGTCTGTGGAAAATTAAAGTCCAAATTACTTTGGTGCAAAAATTTTGAAATCCATGCATAGTTTTTTCTTTCTTCTGCTCTTTTACTTTTATTTCTTCAATTGCCAGAGGGTACATGTGCTTGCCAGAGAGATACCAAGAGAGAAAAGAGAGAGAGAGCACCTCCCAATGGGAAGTAGTCATGCCACAATCCCTTCTCCATTTTTCCATTCTTTTAGAATACATGCACACACACCTCTGTAGTATTTTTCAAGCCAGCAGAGCCAGGATTTAAACCACGGTCAGCCAGGTGGGATCTAAATCCCTTAACCACTAGACTGTGGGGCTGACCCCATAGTTTTTTCATAATATACATTTTTCATAACTTTTTGAAGACCCCTCATACTTCTCTACTATTTAAACTCACTGAATATCTGAGAACCAATATAAAATGGTACTTTTTAAAAACAGTCTAACGACCCAGTATGACATGGAATTCCTAAGGCTTTCTGGAGGCAGAATTTGGTAATTCGGCACAGAAATAATATTTTAAGGGAATGCAGATAGGTTGAATGGGTGGTAATGAACATAAATATTACAAAACCATCTCCATTCAGCACAACAGGACTCTACTCTGGTTTAACTAGAAATCAAGTTAAAGACGGGTCTTCAGTCAAGAGTGCACTACAGCATTTTTTTTTTTTTTTGAGAGGTTTTCGCTATAGGGCGCGTGCGCTCGCCAGACAGACAGAGAGAGACAGAGAGACAGAAAGCGAGAAATCACCCCCCAGAGGGGATGGTCATGCCGCAATCCCTTCTCCTCCATTCTCCTCTTGGGATCTTGGGCACGCACACACACGTGCCTGGCGTGAGTTTTAAGCCACCGGGTCCGGGACGCAAACCGCGGTCGACTACGTGGGAGCCCAGCGACATAGCCATTACGCTAACTGCTGGTTCCCAAGAGTGCACTACAGCATTTGACTGTAACCTCTAGTGCTAATGGCACAGATTTTTACCTTCCTTCCTATGGAAAATCCTAGAAGTTAATCTTTTTCACTCATGCTTCATCTTGATGGATGGATGCAAGAATAACTGGGGAAAATGTACCAACCTCACAAGCCACAATATCTTTTGCATAGAAAAGTCTAAAGCAGTTGCTCATATAGCTCTCTTGAAATTAGTCAATAATCCTGAACTATATGTTTATAATTTTAAAAATTAAAGAATGATAATGCTAGAAAAGATAAGCTCAAAATCTTTCATTTTATCCATAGAGAAACGAGTATGTGTTTGTTTTTATGCACACAGGCATCACTGATATAAGCTTTAAAAAACTAAGGCAAACTGCAAAGGGGGTAAAATAGGAACACATCCTTTAAATTACTCTTGCAGAAGATGCAATCTCATATAGAAGTCCTATAGACTCTCCAATTATAGTCACAAATGGAACCACCTGATACTTCTTGGCAGCTAATGATATTTAGCAAGAAAAAGTTTCCCTATTGCATAAAATGTTCATCTAAGGACTCTGTCCTTCCCTTACAAATCATTCATTGATGAGTTAAGATAAAATGGCTACTTATACTCTGAAGAGTGCTTAAAATATTTTAGAATTTAAAAAACTATAATAGATTTTTAAAAACCACTACAACATACCTCCTTTAACTTATCCACATCATCTTTCACTTTTTCATAGATTTCATTAGCTGTTTTGAGCTTTTTCTTCCACTCTATTACAGTTTCTGGGTCAATTTTACTTGGATTATCTGCAACTAGATGTTTGTCTTCATTTTGGTTGCTCTGCATCAAGTTTAAAGGATCCAGAATAGTCTTGATCTGTGACTCCAAGCTGAGATTTTTGCTCTTAAGCTCATCTACCTCTTTCTGCAAACAATCTATTTCATCCTGAAAAAACATTGCACAGTCATTAGGCAGGCATGGACACTAAATTTAATGTATGCTAAACCATAGCCAACATGTTTTTTGAATCTCCAAATACTGTAGATAACATAGATTATTTACACAACAGTTCTGTGGAGAGAAAGTCACATTCAGTTTAAATTCCCAAATTGTATTCTCACTCTGATAAAAATCGGCATTTACATGGCTTTCATTTTAATTCAGGGATAGCTGTGGTTTTAAAAAAATATATTATATCTTTGCTTCTATTTGTGATATCATCTAGAGAATAAAAAAAGTCACATGTATTCCAATATGGAAGCAAATTCCATTTCAGGAGAAATATCTTAGACATGTTTACCTACTTTACTGAGGGGAATTAAAAACCACAATGTTAACCAAGATGATCTTTTAGGGTTTTGTTTGATAGTTCTATTGCTGCTTCTCTATCTGAAGTAGGAATAAAAACCATATATCGTTTCCTTGCACTTTCATGTCAGAATAATTTTTAACTTTTCCAGATTCTTGCTTTTCAATTATTGCCCTGATTATTGCCAGTATTAATTTTCCCACTCTGGAACCAGTTATTTTCTTAAATCTAATCATTAAACATTTGGGTTAGAACTCTTTCCTTCTGATGTTATTTATTCATCTATAATGAATATACCACCTTAAACTGATGTTTGTTAAAAGTTCTGTTATAAAATAAATTCTAAGCAGTTCAATGTGCCAGTGATCTCCCAAAAGATTACTGTGATTGGTAGCTAACTATAGTATATATCCATTAAGTATGTATGAATGCATTTTGGAGGTAACAAAGATAGTGTTTTATTTTAAATTAAATTACATTTCAAGTTAAACAGCATTAGAGTAAGAAAATTGCTTTATTTGAGTATGTCCTAAGATAAACATATGTATTTATATATTCATATGTGAAACACACACACAGATGCTTAATCTTTTATTTGAACCAAACTGTATTTCAAAAAATTGAGTCAGGTGAGGCAGTTACCATGTACATAAAGATATTTTCTGTCAAAAGAAGAGGTCAATATTATATCCCCTTTAGTCAACAAATAATAACTGAGGGAGCTGGAGGTGGTACAGAGGTAATGCAAAGCACTCTAAGGCTGACCCACATAGAAAGGTTCTGGGATCAAGTCCAGAGACTGTTTGCAGTATGCTGGGAGAGTAAAAGCTCATGATCTGGAGCTGGTTGAGACTGAAGGTTGATTGTGGTATCAAGATATTGTTGGTGGTGCACTCTTTCTGTTTCTTCTCCATCTCTTGCTCATGGAAGAAATAGATACACTTAAAAACTAAAAGATGACCGGGTTTAATATCTGCTATTCAAAAGTAGATGTGGGCCAGTCATCTTCTAACATTTAACAAGCATGGTGATTAAGGCAGCTGGGTTTCAGATTGCTGACCCCACGGTTTGAGTCTCAGACCAGTGACTTGAAAAGTACACTGGGCATGTAAGTGTGCATGCCCACAATCCCAAAAGGACAGAGAAATGGAGAAGGGATTGTGGTGTGACCATTTCCTATGGTGGGGGTGGGGGTGATTTCTCACTTCCCCTCTCTCTCTTTCTCTTTCAGTTTTTCTGTGTTGAGTGCATGAAACCTCTGGCAAATTAAAAAAAAAGTGTATGTACTCATTTAAAATGAATTTCTTTGGAAAAATTTAATAGCCATGTCAAATCAACTTGTTAATTCATATTTAGACAAGAATTAGGAAACAGCTTATTTCACGGTAAAATCTCTGTGCTGGGAATTAATATAAGATTACCAGAATTAATCAGGTTTCTAATCACTTGTGAATTTATAAGCAAAAGCAAAATGATGATTGTGGAGGACAGATGAACTCTCATAAGATTTTCTTTACCTCCTAACATCTGTTTTTTAAAGAATTATTTTATTGTAATTAATTAATTAATTAAAATTTGATCAGAGAGGGGCAAAGGAGGGGGAGGGAGAGAGGGAGAGAGAGAGAGAGAGAAAGAGAGAGAGAAAGTAAGAAAGCAAGCTGCCAGGTCCAGGACTCAAATCACAGTCAGCCATGTGAAAGTCTAGTGCCCTTAACTACCACACCTCCTGCTGGCCACCACCTCCCAACATCTTAGGTGAGCAAAATACAAATGACATGTACAAATTTTAAATTAAAAAAGAAAAAAAAAGTGAGAAAATACTTCCATCTATCCTCTGGAATCCTATTCTCCCCCTTTCTCTGTACTTAAAAAATAAAATAAAATTTAAAAAGAAACTCCTTACTTATAATAAAATTAGGAAAGGGAAAAATAATTTGTCAAGGTTTTTTTTTTTTTTAATTTATTTATTTCCTGAGGGTAGGGACATCATCGATAGGGTCTTCATGCTTTGATACTCCCACAGCACTGCAGCCAGCCAGCATCACAGGTAAGCTCAGCCAAACTGCATCGGCAGACCCAGAATTCAAACCTGGAACTTTACCTTATGGCCTCCAGCATTGTGCAGCAATGGTCCTCCAATGAGGTGTTTTAAAATTAGCCTTTAAAGTAAGGTTTAATATTCAGCCTTAAAAAACAATGAGACCTTATAGTTTGATTAGAAGTGGATGAGTATAGAAGACTCAATGTTGAGTGAAGTGAGCCAGACTTTGAAAGTTACACTACTGTATGCCCCTAATCAATATGTGCCAAATGTCTGCAACCTATGGCAGAAATGAAAAGATCCAAAGATACGGTAATAGAAAGAATAAGTATAGATTCCAGAGACTATAAGGGAGGGGAGTGTATGGTACAGAGTGGGTGGTAAAAGATGTGAGGTGCCAAGGGAAGAAACATTTAACAGACCAAAAAAAAGTAAAGTTTATGTAAAAAAAAAAAAAATGCATGAGAAACTTTAGGAAATTTTAAAGACAATGACAAAATGTATTTTGTATTTTATCTACTACAATTGATTCCCTACATACACATTGCTAATAATATTAAAATATGTCCCCACTTTTCTCTGAAAAACAAATAAGGTTTCACAGGATGTTTATTAAACAGTCCAGGGACTGAGGCAGTTCAATTTTACCTTGAATTCATTGCAGATATTATTTTAAACTTTATCGTTTACCTCATATTCTTTGTGGAGTAACTCAAGTCTAGTTTTCCGTAGGTGCTTCCTGACTGTATGACTTAGCATAGGCTCACTTTCACTTGTTCCTCCTACAAAATAAATAAATAAAATCCTAATTTTTCATTCTGATTAGAGCGGAATAAAAATGAACCTTGTTCTTATTGTATTATATAGTTTCCTAGTTTAATATTCCTCCTTTCCCTTACATACTTTCTTAGGTTGCCATCAGGTCTTTCCTCTATTCTAATGAAAAAAAATAAACATCAAATAAGAAATATTGTCAGTAAAATATCACATTGCAATTACTCACCTATGTATCTTACAGCAAACTCAATGGAGGAAAGGTTTATATATACTTTTCATTAATTATTACAGTTGGACTACTGCAAATTGTGAAAATTAGTCAAATCTTTAATAATATCAATTATATTTATATTTAACTGATTATATAAAAATATTTACCATTTATATGTATGTATGTATATAATTATACTTAAGGTATCCAGGCATTTCTGGTTACTGGTTGCACAACTGAAAAGATTAATGAATCTTTTCACTGAGTCTAATGACTCAGTTAAAATAGATATGAGTCATGTCATTAACTATATGTCCTGAGTAGTTGGAAATATACTCAAAATGAATTCTTCCTGATAGCTCTTCACTTACATTGTAGTTACTTTCTTTGTACATTTTAACATAATGATAGCAAAAGGCATTTTACAGATGTTCTTTTTCAGGGCATTCTACTGAAATGCAAGAATGGATGAGCTATTTTACTTGAGAAAAATGATAT